TGCATGGAAGGAAACTAACTAACTCTAGGAACTATTTGGGAGACAGAGATGTTCAATCCCCGAAGGAAAAAAACATTTGCCTCAGATGGGCTTTAACAAAATACAAATAAGGTGATCCTCTGGCTTTTCTTGTTTTTCCCTCTTCCCTTAGGCTTTCCTCCTTTTTCTCCTATTCGTACCTTGGTTCTGCTCTGTTTGCTTCTCAGTTATTTTTCCTAAAAACCCTTGCTTTTTCCTCCTAATTCTTACAAGGAATCAACAATGAGACTGGTTAACTATAAGAGTATATACAGCAGGCTGGGCTCATGCCTATAATCCCAGCACTTTGGGAGGCTAAGGTGGGTGGATCACGAGGTCAGGAGATCGAGACCCTCCCGGAAAACATGGTGAAACTCCGTCTCTACTGAAAATACAAAAATTAGCTGGGCTTGGTGGTGCGTGCCTGTAATCCCAGCTACTCAGGAGGTTGAGGCTGGAGAATGGCTTGAACCAGGGAGTTGGAGGTTGCAGTGAGCTGAGATCGTGCCACTGCACTCCAGCCTGGTGACAGAGCAAGACTCCGTCTCGGGGGGGGGGGGGGGGAAATATATATATATCTCTCTATATCTCCCTTCTCTTTAGATTGGAGTCATGTGACTAGATCTATCCAATGGGTTATAAGCAGAAGTGATTAGGTGTCACTTCTAGGTCATGGCAGTTAAATCCAATGTGCCTCTTGCATCTCTCTCTTTTCCTACAGTACCATGATGGTTCTGATGTTCATGACCAATTCAGAAATTGAATAGAAGTTGGCAGAAGTGGTATAATGTCATCACAAAAATGTAAAATATGTCCTATTGACTTATGGCTGGAGAAACAGACAATGAGAAAGCAAATATTGTAGGCAGGAAAACATGGCAGATCTTGATCTACAGTGACCAACAAATTATTTGATAAAACAATCATCAGCAGTAATTTGGGAAGCAGACCCTGGCTAAGCAGGCAGCTCCAAGTGAAGGGATTGGAAAAGAAAACATCAGTAGTGTATCTTAGTTACTATTGACTGTGTGTGATAAGTTGTTATAAAAATTAGATTAGCTGAGGAAAAATCTGTCTAATTTGTAAAAGGAATAAAAGAAAATACAGGGTTTGGAAATGTGGGGTTTTGCTCAGTTAGAAAAGCCTATTGCTTCTAGAACCCAATCAGAAAGAAACAGTGTTAATAAAGGGGATCAAATAAAAGCTACCAGCTAGGGGCAAAAATAAAAATAACTTTGAGCCTTCCCTTTCAGTAATAAAAGTCTCAAAAAGCTGTCATTTTATTGAAAGAGAGTATATTGGTTTTTTTTATTGCTGTGCAATTAATTACCACAAACTTATTGGCTTAAACTACACATATAACTTTATGGTATATATATTACATCTCAATAAAGCTGTTAAAATAAAAATATCTATTTATTTTTCTGATAGTTTCTATGAGTCAGGATCTGGCCATGACTTAGCTTGATCTTTTGCTCAAAGCTGCAATCAAGAGGTCAGCTGGGCCTATGGTCTCTGATGCTTGGAGTTCTCTTCCATGCTCATGTAGTGTTGGTATAATTCATTTCTTTGCATCTGTTGAATTCATGGCAACTTGCTTCTTCAGGACCAGCAGTAAAGAGACATTCTATGCTGTTCCAAGTGTCTGATCTACAGACTTTCTTTTAAAGGGCTCATCTGATTAGGTGAGATCTGACCAGGATAATCTCCCTTTTGATTAACTCAAATTCAGCTGATTAGGCATCATAATTACATTTACAAAAATTTCTTCACCTTTCACATATAACATAACTTTATGTCAGTAATGACATCTATTGCATTCACTCACTGTCAATTACATGTACACCAGGAGTTGGTAATCTTCGGGGTCATCTTAGAATTCTATCACAGAGAAAGAAGGTGGGGTGGAGAGAAAGAGAAAGCTAGAATGATGACAAAGTACATCAGAGAATAGTATTTTGAAATTAAGTTTGAATGTAAAAACTGACAGGCACATGTAACTGGATGTAAATAGATTACATGTCTAGTAAATTCTTAGGAAAATGTATTGGCAATAAAATAATGACTTCATATATATTTTGTAGAACTATTTTAAATTTAAAATGACCATGAGCCCATATCTCTCAGAAGCAAAATGTGGACTGTAAAATTGTGCAGCCACCAAGGAGGGCCTCTTGGCCCTGATTCTATGAAAAATGAAGAACTTTCTCAGGGTCCATGGAGAACAATGGGCAAAAGATCTCCTTTTAGAGTAGAATCAGAGTTTAATTAAGGAAACTCCTCACCACCAGAGTAGAAGGCTTTTCAGACCAGTGACTACTGTACTTTTTCCATTTGTTATAGACAGAATGGTATCCTCTCAAAATTCATATATTCAAGCCCTAATCTCCAGTACTCAGAATGGGACAGTGTTTGAATATAGGGTGATTAAGTTAAACTGAGGCTGTTAAGGAGGGCCCTAATCCAATCTGACAAGTGTTCTTAGAAGAAGAGAAAAATTAGGACACACAGAAACCAGGCATGAGTGAGCAGAGAAAATCATGAAAACAGTGAAAGGTGGTCCCCTGCAAGCTAAGGATAGAGGCCATCCAAAGAAACCAAACTGCTGACACCCTAATCTTGAACTTCTAGTCTCTAAAACTTCAAGAAAATACATTTCTGTTATGTACGCCTTGCAGTCTGTGGCATTTTGTTATGTCAGCCCTCACAAATTAATACACCATGCTTCCATTTTTTTCATTCAAAAATAACTTCAAGTTTTATTTTAGATTCAGAGAATGCATATGCAGTTTTGTTATTAACATTTGGGTATATTACATGATGCTGAGGTTTGGGGTGTGGATGCCATCACCCAGGTAGTGAGCATAGTACCAAATAGATACTTTTTCAACTCACATTCCCCTCTCTCCCTCCCCCATCTAGTAGTCTCCGTTGTCTGTTGTTCCAATCTTTATGTTTATGTGTATTTAATGTATTCAATGTTTAGCTCCCATTTATAAGTAAGAACACACAGTATTTGGTTTTCTTTTCCTGAGATAATTCACTTAGGATAATGGCCTCCAGTTACATCTGTGTTGATGCATAGGACACGATTTCATTATTTTTTACAGCTGCATAGTATTCAATGGTGTAAATGTACCACATTTTCTTCATCCAGTCCATGGATGATGGGCACCTAGACTGATTCCATGTCTTTGCTATTATGAATAGTGCTGCAATGAACATATGAGTGCATGTGTCTTTTTGGTAGAACAGTTTCTTTTCCTTTGGGTATACACCTGGTGATAAGATTGCTGGGTTGAATGGTAGCTGTTTTAGCTCCTTGAGAAATCTTCATACTGCTTTCCACAGTGGCTGAACTGATTTACATTCCCACTAACAGTGCATAAGGATTTCCTTTTCTCCATAGCCCTGCTGGTGTAAGCTATTTTTTGACTTTTTAATAATAACCATTCTGACTGGAGTGAGATGGTATCTCATTGTGATTTTGATTTGCATTTCACTAATGACTAGTGTTGTTAAGCATTTTTTCATGTTTGTAGGCCACTGGTATATCATCCTTTGAAAAGTGTCTCTTTATGTTCTTTGCCCGTTTTTTAATGGAGTTATTTGGTTTTTCCTTGTTGATTTAACTTCCTTATAGATTCTGGGTATTAGGCCTTTTTTTAGATGCATAGTTTGCGAATATTTTCTCCCACTCTGTGGGTTGTCTGTTTACTCTGTTGATAGTTCTTTTGCTGTGCAGAACCTCTTTAATTTAATTAGGTCCTACTTTTCAATTTTTGTTTTTGTTGCAATTGCTCCTGGGGACTTAGCCAAAAATTTGTTGCCAAGGCCATTGTCAAGAAGGAAATATCCTAGGTTTTCTTCCAGGACTTTCATAGTTTGAGGTCTTACATAAAAATCTTTAATCCACCTTGAGTTCATTTTTGTATATGGTGAAAGGAAGGGGTCCAGTTTTATTGTTCTGCATATGGTTAGTCAGTTAGCCCAGCACCAGCACCACTTATTGAATAGAAGGTCCTTTTTCCATTGCTTGCTTTTGTCAGCTTTGTTGAAGATCAGATAGTGGTAGATGTGCAGCTTTGTTTCTGGGTTCTATATTTCCTTCCTTTGGTCTGTGTATCTGTTTCTATACCAGTACTATGCTGTTTTAGTTACTGTAACCATATAGTACAGTTAGAAGTGGGGCAGTGTGATGCCTCTGGCTTTGTCCTTTTTGCTTAGGCTTGCATTGGCTATTTGGGCTCTTTTTTTTTTGTTTCATTTTAATTTTAGAATATTTTTCTCTAATTCTGTGAAAAATGACATTGGTAGTTTAATATGAATAACATTGAATCTATACATTGCTTTGGGCAGTGTGGTCATTTTAATGATATTGATTCTTCCAATTTATGAGCATGAAATGTTTGTTTCCTTTATTTATGTAATCCATGATATTTTTCAGCAGTGTTTTGTAGTTCTCCTCATAGAGATCTTTTACTTCCATGGTTAACTGTATTCCTAGATATTTTATTTTCTTTGTGGCTGTTGTAAATGGGACTGTGTTTTTGATTTGGCTCTCAGCTTAAACATTACTGGTTTATAGAAATGTTAGATTTGTGTACATTGATTGTATATCCTAAAACTTTACTGAAGTTGCTTGTCAGTCCTAGGAGCCTTTTGGCTGACTCTGTGGATTTTTCTAGGTATATAATCATATCATAAGGTAAGAGAGATGGGATGGTCAGACTTATTCTTTTCCTTTTTGGATGCCCTTTCTTTTTTTTTTCTTTTGTTTTTCTTGCCTGATTGCTCTCTCTATGACTTCCTAATTATTACTGTGTTGAATAGGAGTGATGAGATTGGTGGCACCCTGATCTTGGACTTCTACTCTCCTCTGGCATCCTTGTCTTATTACCCTGTTCCTATGTCTGTTCTTGTGTGTGATGTGGGTATTAGGGTTTGAATGATAAAGATTTTTATATTCTTCCATTACACAGGTCTCCCAATGAAGGAAAACCACATCTGGACCAGATGCAGAGATTATTACATCACCCTGGAACTCCTGGACTTTGAGGTAGATGAAGGATTTCATGAAATGCCTCCCTTGGAGAGGCATTGAGTATATTCTGTGTGTGGGAAAAAGGAAGAAAATGCATATTGAAGACAAGAAGTGTGGATTGTGACAATGATTACAAAAGAAGAGCCAGTTTTCTATGTTCTTTATGTTTCCTAACCAAAATCTTGTTGCTCTGAAAGGTCATTTTATTATTCTCAAATATTATCTCTTCCCATATGAGAGAATTAGACATTCCTGCCCATTGCCAAGAGCTTGCAGTCCTTTCTTGTTAAGGAGTATACATCCATGTCCATGTGACTAGCTTTTAACAATGAAGTATAAGTAGAAATGATGGGGTCAATTTTGAGCAGAAGCTTAAAAAGCCAATTTTTCAATATTAATTTATTTTGAATCCATGAAGAGGACTAGGTTGTAGGAAAGATATTTCAAGTAGAGTGAATAGCATGATGAGAATTTGAAATATATTTCTCAGCAAACTTTACAGGTATGGTGAACAGAACTGATTGGCAGGAAAGAGTAATTGTGCTCTGCTTTATATTTTCTCAGAAAAATAGCTATTATGTGCCAGACCTTATACTGGTATATATAGTGACAGTTGATAGACTCGATCTAGGCAAGAGCCATTTACATAAGAGATTTGAAAAGGGGTAATGAATGGTGCTATCATTGGGAAATCTTGATGATGGAAATTTAAGGAGGCGCATACATACTTATATTCTGATTATACATATAACTCAGGATCTAAAGCATATCAAAGATAAATTATAGCCAACTTAATACAAGATATTTTTCAAGTTAAAAATTATGGGTCTTTTATTGACCTACTTGATATTTCTTTATTTGAAAATTTTATATGTGAATTGGTGAATTCACATTATGCTTGTTTTCCATGTAAATACTGATCAGTTATTTCCAGAGTATTCCCATTCTGTCACTGGCTTGTTTGACCTTGAGCAAGTTTCTGAGCCCATGCTGAGTCTCTGTTTCCTCCTATATAAATTGGCTTTAACAACAGAGTCTAATTTACAAGATTCTTTCTAGAAATAAATTGCTAGAATAAATGCATGGAAAACACTTTGCACTGCGCCTGGTACACTGTAGGGATTATTCCTGCTCCACGTTTTTCTTCTTTCTCCTCTTCGCCTTCTTCAAGAAAAAGGGAACAAGGAGGATGACTGTTTGACTGTTTTGCCATTTCACTTGTTTACCTGATGCATGAATTAATGAATTAATGTTTTTCCTTTTTTTTTTTTTTTTTTTTTTTTTTTGAGACAGAGTCTCGCTCTGTTGCCCAGGCTGGAGCTCAGTGGCGCAATCGCAACTCACTGTAAGCTCCGCCTCCCGGGTTCACGCCAGTCTCCTGCCTCAGCCTCCCGAGTAGCTGAGTAACTGGGACTACAGGCGCCCGCCACCACGCCTGGTAATTTTTTTTGTATTTTTAGTAGAGACGGGGTTTCACCGTGTTACCCAGGATGATCTCGATATTCTGACCTCGTGATCCGCCCGTCTCGGCCTCCCAAAGTGCTAGGATTACAGGCGTGAGCCACCGCGCCCAGCCATGTTTTTACTTTTAAAAAATTATTTTCTATCCTAATACTTCTAAGAATTTCATGGGTTTCTTTGTTTTACATTCTTTGTCCATCCATAGCTAAAGTGCTCTCTTAAATGGTCCCTCAGACCCCCAATGTGCAACACCCTCCTCCCCCCCCACACAAAATTAATTATTGTTTATCTGTTGGTAACAGCTGGAATAAGGGATATAATGCTGAGAAATAAAGAAAGAGAAACATTGAGTTCATAACCCCACACATGGCTGTAGCTGTACACACCTCCAAAAGGTGGATGTCATGAAGCAGGAAGATGTGAGTATTAACATTGGCAAAGATTCCCTATTACCCTTATAATATTGATTTTCTTCAAGCTCATAAAGGTTTTTGTTTTGTTTGTTTGTTTTTGCTTTTCATTTAGATCAACTGTCAGCAAACTACACTCTGGCCCTCTGCCTGTCCTTGTAAATAAAATTTTCTTGAACACAGATACACCCATTTCATTTAGGAATTGTCTATGGCTGCTGTTTTGCTACAATGGCAGAATTGAATTGTTGCAACAGACACCATATGGCCTGCCAAGCATAAAATGTTTGCTGTCTGACGGTTTACAGAAAGACTTTGCTGACCTCTGTTTTGGAGGAATGACACTGTGCATGTAGAACATTATTATTTCTTTAACCTCTAGGGCAAGCTATGCCTTACCCTTTCCTCGGCCAAAAGACTAAGTCTAGTTGGAAAAAGGAAAAAAGTCTGCTCCTTATGCTTCCTTCCCTTTTGTTGTCTGGTGATTTCAAGTTTATCATACCCTTGAACTTTAAGTAGCTGACTTTAAGTCACAATCTTATGTCCATCTTCTTCACTATACCTAGTAAATGACAATGTATCAGTAGCAAACTTTGTCCTTATGAAAGTGCCAGAAGTTCCATTATCATTAGGTAATCACGTGACAACTTCTAGGTCCCCTTTCTAGAGCCTCAAGAGAGAAACAAGACATTCCATTCCCTGATTTTGAAACAGCCTCACTTGTAAATATAAAGTCTACTCATGACCATAAACTTTTCTCATACAGTTGCCTGGAATAAAAATTGACAAATATACTATGCTATTTGCCATAAAATTAGCAAGTAATGAAGTTCAATTGGATACTTTTGCTTGAAATTTTGCTTCTTAGATATGTGCCTAGTGGTGTGGTTTGCTGAGTTGATCATGTCTCGTATACCTTCTTGGATATTTAATGATAAATAATAGGCCAGTAAGCAGTATTCAAGCATTCAGTTTGATAGCTTCAGAATGACTAGCTACTATATGCAGTGGGATTATAAAAATGGATTCAGGGGTTTGCTTCAGTTTATTGAAAAGCTGTAAAGTGTCCTTGAAACACTGTGGATTTTAATTGCTTATAATGCCTATATAAAATGATCATATGGAAAGTGAATTTGATATTTTCCCTTTTCCATGCAAGTAACAATTGAAAAATATATATGGAGAGAAAAAAACCTAAGGCATTGTCAGAAGTGCTGCATTCCACTTTATGAACCCTGAAGTAATGGATCTACAAGAGGTATATGCAGGAGCCTGTTATTGACTGTGAAGACATTCTGCATTGGTTGACTGTGAACTGAAGTATCATTTTCTCTCTCATCCTGGCACCTGGATAATATTAAATTTGAACCTTTGGTTTGATTGATACATCTCAGCAGCAGGACAGTTAGACATTTATGTCATAAAACCAAAATGAAATATTTTATATCATTGAACATGGCCCTGCAAGGTACAGTAGTTAAAACCAAGTAAAGTTAGTATCAATTTTACAGTTATTTAAAAGGCATACACACAGGCACACACATGCCCACATACACATAAACCCACCATAGAAATGCCCCCCTTTTTTTTGTTTTGGAATGACATTTAGTAAAACATAAAGTTACCTAAAGAAGCTGAGGTAGCAGCTTTAAATGCAATAAACAGGGACCTACTTACATATGCAAAACAGGGACTCACAGGTGCAAGAAAGGTAATTGCTGGTACAAAATATGCCATTACCTGTTTTACATGCACAACTGCCTGATCTGTAATGGCAACTAGCTGATCTTCCTCTGCATAATTTTTATACACAAATTAGTCACTGTGGAAAATTTGGCACGGATATTTCTCCGTTCTGAAAATATATTATATACAGAAGACAATAGAAGCATTCGAATCAGTCAGTAGAACACATTTTCTGTTTATTTTTATTTATTAAAAACGAGGAAACCTCTTTTGGAATCTTATTTTTCTTCCCCTGCTAAAAAGTTTTTGTCATTGTTGTTGTTTTGTACAGTGTGTTTCATTAGTGCTTTAAAATCTGCTGAAGCCAAGCAGCAACTTGCCTGCCTATTAGTTTAACTGAAGGCCCATCACAGCAGTGCGTTATGCATTGTCTTGGGAACAATTAAGACATGCCATCCCCACAAAGCAGTTTTTAAGTGGGCAAAATATATTTAATGGTAGGGTTTGTGGCACCCAGAATGGAAATACAATGCAAACTGTGGGGAATATGTACTTGCCCTAACATTAAACAGGTTTCTTAAAATTCACATATACACTCTGGGGGATATGGTGTCCTGTGTGTACATTTCAAGTGTTGCTAATGAAATGTTTTTTGTCTATGGCAGCCTATGCATAAGAGTGTAATCTGTGGCCAGCCAAAGGGCACTGTTAACAGCAGCAATAATGCAAATTTAATATGCACATAATGATTGATCTCTTTAGTAAAAAGCTTATGAATAATATTCACATTTAGGACAAGAGCTAAAGTACCCTGGGAATCAGGCATCAAGAGTCTAGCTATTGATGGATTTAGACAGGTCAGACAATGTCAGTCTAACAGCATTTGATCGATATAGACAAATGTGTCAGAAAGGTGATTTGAGAAATACCTTTATAATATATACAAACATCAGATTTAGTATCCTCTTTCTTATCATAATGTGATCCACATATGTTTCTAAAGCAAGGGTGTTTTTTATTATTTCTATTTCGGGTGCTCATGGTAGGTCAAATTAAAACACAGTATGTGTCCAGTTCAGCCATCCTGCTCACAATATCATATGATATGTAAAAAAAGTAGTGTTGATTTCATGTAGAACTAATATGTCACTCTTAATATGTTTTTTAACACTGAAATTTGGGAGCCGACTTTAGTCGAGGTCACTGTGTGCTTCATTTAATACAATTAACAGGTTTCTTAGTTTAGAGGACATATTTCTTGTAACTGAAAAGATTATCCACAGCTTTGTAGCATTTCAGTGTCTAGATTATTACAAAAGAGTGAGTTTAAAGTTTTTCTAGGAAACTGATGGAAGAAGTTTGGTATTAAAGTTGAATTTTTACTCTAGGAGTCATTATTGCAGAGAATCAGAATCAGTATTTAGGCATTTAGATCCAGATGGCATTCTTGGGTTACCCTCTAAGATCTGTAATAATAAATTGTGCAAAATGTTTTTGATGACTTTCTTAGTGGTAATTTTTATTTGTTTATTTGTTTTTAGTTTTTTCGAGACCAGGATGCAGATGAGTTCTAGTATATAAATTTAATATCTAAATGTATTTCATAATATTTCTATGTGAAGTAATAGTTTAGTTAGCATTATTTGTTTCATTGCCTCATGTGAAACTGTGAGAGCAGAAGTTGAGTTTTAATTGTTTCTTTAGTTGAAGTAAGTAGCCGTGATAATAATGTTCTTTCAAAAGAACTAACATACAAATAAATATATGTAAAATAATACAGGAAGGGAGGGAAAGAAGAAAGACTGGAAAATGTTTGATTTTTTTTTTTTCCCATTTGTATGAGAACATGTTACAGTGTGGACAGTGCTCTTCTAAATAGACTGTATGACGGTTAATTCTGTGTCAACTTGACGGGGCCATGCAGTGCCCAGATTAAATATTATTTCAGGTTTTGTCTGTGAGTGTGTTTTCATATCAGATTAACACTTTAATCAGTGAACTCAGCAAAGCAGATTGTCCTCCTCAACATGGGTGGGCACCATCCAACCTGTTGAGGTCCTGAGTTGAATAATGAAATGGAGGATAGGAGGACTTGAACTCCTTCTCTTCTTGCCTGCTTGCTTGAGCTTGGACATGAGTCTTCTCTTGCCCTTGACTGGGATTTATATTATCTATTCCCCTGGGTCTCGGGCCTTGAGACTCAGACTGGAATTACACCACAGGATCTCCTGGGGCATCATCCTGCAGATAGCGGATCATGGGACTTAGATTCCATAATTATATGAGCCGATTCATCATAATAAATCTATATCTGTATAATCTATGTACTATATCTAAACTATTAGTTCTGTTTGTCTGGAGAACTTTGACTAATACAATAATGTTTATGAAAGTATAAGATATCTAAATACTGTGAGATTTCTATTTTGAGAACAATTAGTATTTTAAATATTAAAGAAGGTACAATCTCAACATCTCATTGTCAGTTGTGAGGGATGCAACGGGCATCTTTACTAATTAATGAAACTGCATGTCAAAAAATTTATCAATACCCAATAATGTTTCTTGATATTTCAAATTAATTATTCTGATCTTTTCCAAGAGATGTTAAAGAACACATAAGAACTAAGTGTTCTACCTAATTTCAAGCAAGTGTAAACAGAAAAATATACCATCAGCTTCAATAGTTAACGATGGGCAAAATAAAATGTAATATTATTGTTAACGGATACACTTTTTGCTGAAATGTGCATTTACTTTCACATAATTCTATTCTTTCTCAAAGTAACTTTTTGTATGGATGGGTGAATGTCATATAATTTTTATAACACTATATACTTTTTGTGGAAAAAGACATATAAACCAAAGAAAATGTGCTCTGTGGAGCCATGTGTCCTCATTTTTTAATCTGAATACAGGAACAACCTGTATATACCTTTCATACAAAATATACATCAGGTATGGAAAGTAATGTGTCCGTTTTATTATAGAAAAAAGTGGTTGGTAGCTGGAGATGATATAGGAATAATAATATCTTTGAAGAAAAAAAATGAAAGTGAAGCCCTTTACAAAACAAGAATTGATTTTGAGCGGGATCAATACATGTTTGCATATAAAAATTATACCAACTTTGGAAAATACAATGAAAGTGTTGAAATCTGGAAATTGCTAATGGAAAATGAACACTTGAGAATAAAAGGCACAAAATGGAGACTTAAATAAAGTGGTGCAAAGTTGTTTCTGAAAATATTCGTTATGATTCAATAAAACTAAGATAATTGGCTCTAAGCATATATACATTCTGTTTGGACCTAGATTGCTTCCTCCTCTGCTCTTCCTTTATCTGCTCTTGGCTTTTCTTCCAGATCCCTCTTCAAGTGTAGTTTCAGGCTTCACTATTGTCTGTTTCTGTTTGAACTGCCAATGTTGCTCATACTCTGGAATTTCTCTAATGTTATGTCTCGTTATTGCATCTCTGAATGAGGAATTGTTACTAGTGAGTAAAGTTAGCCTAAACAGGGAGCATTTTCCAAAAGAAAAGGAAAGCAAGTTCTTCAGAGAAACAGACTTTCATAGAGGCCTTTTCCAGTTACTAGATGGGGGTAACCTAAAAGAAGTATAATGAAAGCCATGAAAGTTAGTAGTAAAAAGCAATACTTAGAGAAAGCAAGAATAAGCTATTATTTCAATCAGCATCAATCTGATAATGCATTAAGTGGTATCCTGTTTTCTAGAAAGTACAATTTCATTACAAAAATTACAATGGATTCCCTCTTTTTAAGTCTCCTATCACCTCGTACTTTTATTATAAACTTACTGTATTCCACTTTGTATAATTGCTTCTAGTACCCAATTTTCTTTCACTGGGTTATAAGTTCCTTGAAGATTTCCGAGACTGTGTCTTGCCCATGATCTTCTCCAAAGTATTTAGTTCAGCATCTCAGTAAATATATGTTAAAATAAAATTAATATATATTATTGATAAACATTTATTGAACATTATTATGTTATAGAGAAGGCAGCATGTGCTGGGGTCTGGAGAAAGAAAAAGAATAAATTTTAAATGGTTTAAAGTGTAGTTGAATTGGTAAGTATACATTAAAGAATGAAAGATAAACAATAAGGCCAGGCGCGGTGACTCACGCTTTTAATCCCAGCACTTTGGGAGGCCAACTGGGTGGATCACAAGGACAGGAGTTTGAAATCAGCCTGGCCAATATGGTGAAACCCTGTCTCTACTGAAAATACAAAAATTAGCTGGGTGTGGTGGCGGGCGCCTATAGTCCCAGCTACTTGGGAGGCTGAGGCAGGAGAATCACTTGAACCCAGGAGGTGGAGGTTGTAGTGAGCTGAGATCGTGCCATTGCACTCCAGTCCGGGAGACACAGCAAGACTCTGCCTCAAAAAACAATAATAATAATAATAATAATAGCTGATAGCATCTTCTAAATGCCAGAAGAGATTGTTAAGAGCTGCAGAAGTTACCAAGAGTGAGTTGACCCTCAGAGTTGGAAGGGTAAAGAAAGTATGGCTTTCTTACATGCCTCTGCTATTGCTTCTAAAGAGAAAACTTCAACCCCTACACATTGCTGTGCAGATCTTTGAGTGGGATTCAAAACCACTGGTTCTGTTTACTTCCTGGCTTTCTAAATGGCAATGCTTAGTTCAAGGACAGACAGATTTATTTATATAATTACCATGTAAATAATGCACTTACACTATTCAAAATATGTAAAGTAGAATACAATTATAACAAGTGTCCTAATTCTTTACAGTAAATAATTGATGCACTAAGAAAAGCTATGATTTGTGTCCTTAGTGTCAGAGAAGCAGTGCCATTTTCTTATTTTGTTCTGTTTGTTTTTCTGAAGGAAGGAAGGAAAAAGAAAGAAAGAAAAGTGGGATTATTGAAAAAATGTCTTTCAAGAGCATGAGGGTTGGTTAGTATTTTTCTTATGAACCCCAGAGTAAAGCCCCTGAACTCAAAATGGAGTATCCTAGGTCCCCAAAGCAATTAAGAAGTATTTGATACTTTATGTCTTTGTAATTAAAAGATTTCATAGCATGTGTTCATTTCTATTGCTTCTGAAATTGGTCTATGGTACTTCTCAGAATGCTAACCCAGAAGCCACCTTTACTTATGCTATGTTGAAGAACAAGCCTGGTCTGCCAACCTCAGATGTTTCAGTATTATCACAAAAGAACAACCTGCCCGGAAGAAAGAACTACAATCTGGGAATCCTACTGAGGAAAGAGCAGATATATTGTTTTAAACTGTGATCAGGTAAGGAAGGAGCTCGGTAAAATAGGATGTGGTATCTGGAGAGCAGAATAACCAGTAGCAGTAATCCAGAAGTGTTAGAGTTTTAGCAAGAACAAACTACACATAATTGAATGCAGAGCTGGATTACTAACAACTAAATTTTAGAAATTTTTATTGAGAGTTTAATATTCTTTAATTCAATCATTTATTTATCCAATCAATATTTAATGACTTCTCTGTAGGTATAAGGATAAGGAAGAGGTACAATAAAAGTACATCATATTCTACTATAGAAATTAATAAATACAACAGGCAGAGGTTGCAGTGAGCTGAGATCCTGCCACTGCACTCCAGCCTGGATAAGAGAGGACATAGCGAGACTCTATCTCAAAAAAACAAAAATAAAAAACCAAAACAAAACAAAAAAACAAAAGCAAAGAGTAAAAGTAAATTATTTAATTTTGCATACACTAATGTGCAATTCTCTATTGCTTAAGCATTGTGTGGCTTAATTGGATTTTTATAAGGCAAATGAAACGTGAATACATTATGAGTCATTTAGTGCTCTTAAACTTACCATTTGATTTGCTAGGTAAAATGCTGGAAAAATCAGCCTGTAAGTTTCAAGAGAAATTATGTTGACAAATAAATGACTGATCTGGTTGAAAAAATATAATTGCAGGAATAAATATAAATTGCGAGTAAGCTGGACAGTTAAAGATTTAACTTCCCGTTGCTTGGCCTCAATCTAGCTTTTTGGGTAGATTTACTGTTTCACATCAAGAAGGTCTTGGAATGAGAACTTAATAAATATTTAATGAGGTAATAATGATTGGCAACATTAATAAAGATGATGGGAGTTACCTAAGCAAGTTGGTGGAATAGGAGCTTTCTACCATTACTTCCTTCTCCTGCACAGATGCAGCAATTTTGAGAATGACCCATCTAAAAATGCATCTTTGTAGGAGTCTTGGAGTCCAGAAAAGTCTTAGCACACATTGGAGCAAAATATCAAAATGTTTATGCATTGAAGAGTTAATAAAACGATTTCACTTTATCTGTTACCCTTCCTCCAAGGCAGCACAGCTTAGTGTCAGGAGAGTCCCTTTTAGTCTGCAGTTTTTCTAATGGGAGAAAGTAAGAGCATAGTGAGGGAGCACCTTGTTCCTCCAGCCATGCAGGATATTTCCCAAAAGGTGTACTTTTTTATTACCTCACCCAGATTACTAAGGTAATCAGCACAGTTGAAAGATTGGGAGAGAATGAGAGCAGAGAAGAGAGGTCACAGACCCTACTTACCACTTTGTGAACTCTGCCAGGAAGCTGGCCCATGAATTTTAACTCTGGACCCACAAGGGACACCCCCAAAACTCCATGTGTCTCACTCCTCTTCTCCCAGGCCAGCATCCAGAGCACATACCTAAGGACAGGAAAAGAAAGCATCTCACACAGGTGATTTGACCCTACTGAATTGTAAAAAGGCCTAAAAACTTGAATATTTCAGAACACTGCCCTAGAGAAAACAAATGGGAAGCTCTCAGCATCCAGTCTGGATTTTTGGGATTGGAAGAAGGCATACAGTCTTAAGAATTCCCCCACATCCCACCAAGAGGAAGCAATAGATATAGAACGGCACAAACAGAAAAGATCTGAGACAGTTTAAGAATCTTTAGCTGGGCTGACTGATGAAGGTTTTTTTTTTCTGCCAAAATTAGTCAGAAAAGACTGAAGGAGGTGGTTGTTTCCTCAAATGCAAAGACAGCAATGCAAGACCTCAAGAAACACAAAAATCAAGGCAATGTGACACCTCCCAAGGAAACCCCAAATATTCTCACATCCAAGTCCAAAGAAATGGAGATCTACCAATTTTCTGATAAAGAATTCAGAATAATTGTTTTAAGAAACCTAAGCAAGCTACAAAAAGCACAGATAGACAATTCAATGAAATCAGAAAAGCAATACGTGAACAAACCAAGAAATTCAATTAAAAAATAGAAATCATCAAAACAAGCCAAACAAATTCTGGAGATAAGGAATACAATAAATGAATGAAAAGTGCAACAGAGAGTATCAACAGTAGACTTAATCAAGCGGTAGAATCAGTGAACTGAAATACAGACTATTTGAAACTATAAATACAGAGAAGAAAAAGGAAAAAAAAAAAAAGAAGAATGAGAAGGAATAAAGAAAGGCTGTGGGAGATATGGGGACACCATGAAGAGAACTAGGTTTGGAATATTGAAATTTTCAGTAGAAAAGGAAAGAAAGAAGTAGAAATCTTATTTAAAAAAATGGTGGCTGAAAATGTCCCAAATCTGGGGGAATATATGAACACCTAGGTCCATGAAGCTCAAAGATTCCCAAATGGCTTCAACTTGAAGACTTTACCAAGACACAATAAAATCAGAAAGTCTAAAATCAAACACAAAGAGAGAATTTTCAAAGAAACAAAAGAGGCTAGTTACATACTGGGGAAACTACCATAAGTCTATCTTTTGTCACAGGTGAGGAGAGAGTGGAATAATATATTCCACATGTTGGAAAAAAAATACTTTCCCTGGCAAAGATGTCCTTCAGTAATAACAGACATCACCAGGAGGGAGTTCATCACCATTAGACATGCCTTACAAGAAATGCTACAGAAAGTTCTTCAAGCTGATTCAAGGGCACTTATTAGTAACATAAAAACATATGAAAGTATAAAACTCACAATGGTTAGTATATAGTCAAATTCAGAATATTTTAGTACTGTAATGGTAGTCTGTAAATTCTAACTCTAGTATAATGATTAAAAAACAAAGGTATTAAAAATAACTGTAGGTTCAATAATTTGTTAACAGATACACAATATAAAACTATGCAAATTATAACATCAAAAACATGGAATGCAAAGTTTTGGGTAGCAAAAGTATGGAGTTTTAGTACATGATCAAAGACAAGCAGTTATCAATCTAAAATAGACTGTTAGACTCTATAAAATGGTTTATTTAAACTTCATGGTCACAAAACAAACAAACCACTCAAACCTGTAGTAGATACACAAAAGATAAA